GATAAAACAGCACTATCCACATGAGGAAAATGTCAGCGGACTCAGGGAAGCCTCCCTGTTTGCAGAGGTATAAATATAAAATTAGATTTAAGAAAAAACTCAAAAGTGTGGGAGAGCCTGCATACATTCCCATGAGGACTCAGCAGCTCTATTCCACCCCAGCTTTCCATTTTGAGCTCTCTCACAATCAGTATTCAGTGGAGACTGAGCACACTCAGAATGCTGTTGGCTTTCGTATCTGCCCAGTTGTTGTGGAATGCTGAGTGTTGGCAGAGAAACATATGGAATCCTGGGGAGATGATGTGAATCCCATCCCACAGTCAGTGGGGCAGGTTTTGCCTTCAGCACTGTCAGGGTAAAACCTGGCTTGCTTTACTCTTCATCTAAGGGATTAGTGGTCCTCCTGATGTGGTTGGACTTCAACTCCCACCTGCCCCACCTAGCATGGCCGGTGTTGAGGAACAATAGGAATGTTGGTTTAAAAATAACCTACTGTATCTGGAATTTCCTCACTCATTTGCCTTGTCCAAGAAATAAAAGCAAAGGTCCTGCCGTTCTCAGCAAAGAGGTGGAGAATGACGGGGTGAAAGCAAAAAACAGATTTCCCTCTGTGTGTACCCTGCTTATCATAACAATATTTATTGCTTGTGCAGTATGAAGGTGCTAGATAGACAACCTCACTTCTTATCACATACATATACACACCAGGAAGCGGGAAAGGGTTTTGGTTGGTTGGTTGGTTGGTTGGTTGGTTGGTTGGTTGGTTGGTTGGTTGGTTGGTTTGTTGGTTGGGTGGGTGGTTTGTTGGTTGGTTGGTTGGTTGGTTGGTTGGTTGGTTGGTTGGTTGGTTTGGTTTGGTTTGGTTTGGTTTGGTTTGGTTTGGTTTGGTTTGGTTTGTCTATACATCCCAAAATCCCCTAGATCAGTAGTTCCCAGCCTTGATTCCCCAAATGGTCTTGGACTATAACTCCCCCAAATCCTGGCCAGCACAGCTAGTGATAAAGGCTTCAGGAAGTTTTAATCCAAGAACATCTAGGGCCCCAAGGTTGGGAACCACTGCCCTGAATAGCATGGTCAATGGCCATGTTGGCTGGGGAATTTGGGGAACTGTAGCACAATGCCCTCCTAAGTTCTTTCTTTCGTACATAAAATTGTGATCAATGAGAAGATGGCTGATGGGGTTGGCAAGGAGAAAGGAAGAGACAATGGCTAAGAAACCAGCAAGTTGCAGAGTATGGATCTGCTTTATGCACCATCAAGTCACTTCCAGCTTATGATAATGCAATGAATTCATGGTCTGCAAAAGGTCCTATCATTTACAGCCATGGCCAGGTTCTAAAAGTGAAAGGCTTCCTCTATTGCATCAATCCATCTCACATTAGGTGTTCTCTTTTCTTTAGGCTTTCTCGCCTTCTCCACTGAGTCTTGTCTTCTCATTCTTTGTTCAAAATACAATAGCTTCGGTTTAGCTTTTAGTAGATGCTCCGGGTTGATTTAGAAAACATAAAAGAATTCAGATTAGACCCACCCTTAAAAATATTGTCATCCTGCAACAACATTTGTCCCCCACCCCAAACCACCTCTGTGACTGGCAGCTAAATCTTATCTCAATGCTTATCTTCAGACATGAATCCTCCTTCATGTCTGAAGGTGGTTGACTAGCTGAGGAGCCACTGGGCAGACTAGAGTAAAGGGCCTGTGTCAACCAACCACCCCTCGCCCCCAAACATTTGCTAACTGAGACAGGTGCCTCACACCTGCACTTGGAAATGTTACTTTTTAAAGGACTGCTTTAGGTTCCCCTTGACATTTAGTCCAGTTGTGTTCAACTCTAGGGGGCGGTGCTCATCTCCGTTTCCAAGCAATAGAGCCAGTGTTTGTCTGAAGATAGTTTCCGTGGTCACGTGGCCAGAGCGACTAGACACAGAATGCCATTATCTTCCCACCAAGGTGGTACCTATTTATCTACTCACATTTTCACATGCTTTCGAACTGCTAGGTTGGCAGGAGCTGGGACAAGCGACGGGAGCTCACTCCATTGAGTGGATTCGATCTCACGACTGCTGGTCTTCTGACCTTGCAGCACAGAGGCTTCTGCGGTTTAAGTTGTCATCAAAACATGTGCAAGTTGCAGCCCAAGGAAAGTGACTCCCCTAAACTCTAGTTTGTTCTACTTGATAATAAGGATGAATTCCTCTCAAATCCACAGACTCTTTGTAACATCTCAATTGAAAATGAAGACTGGAGAGAAGGGTACCATTTTCTAAATAGATCTGAAAGTGGTGCAAAGAGAAATTACACCAAATGTTGTATCCTCTCATTTTCTTGGTCTTATTTTTGTCTTCCATTTTTGTCTGTCTAGTCATGTCATACAGTCACGTGAGTGTCACAAACCTCTTCAAATTCTGTTCATCGGAGGTTATACCTGGAGGAGTGACCACACAAGACATAACTTTTTTTCTTAGAGCTTCATTTCAACTCTGGATGAAATAGACCACCTGTCTCCAAGTCTAAAGAGAAATGAGCAATATTACGCCCATCAGAACTGCAGATGATACGTACAAAATTAGGAATAACTGAACATTTTGTGAGAGGAGGAGGAAAACAATCTAAGCTGACTTGACGCCCTTGAGGAACTGGGCTCATGACAATCCAATAAAAACTGAAGAGTAAGAAATGTGCATCTCTGCTAAGGGGAAGGGCGAAAAAATAGCATACGTGCAATGTGAGAGCAGAAAGCTAAGAGAGACACCAGGATCTGCTAAAAATGGCCATGGGATATTGCATCATGGACTGATGTAAAATACATAACCCTTGTAAGATCACTGTGGTGCTGCTTCCCACATGTAAATGTGGTCTTTGAGTCTCTCTGGCATACTGCTTATGACAATGAGTATGTTAGTGCAGAGGAGAAAACAGAAGGAGAAGTATTTGCAAGGCCTTCAAAATAGGCATTCAGGACACTTTTTCTTTGCAAAATTCCGTTTAAGTCTAGTGGGTGAAAATTGACTGCAGCCCCCCTGACAGTCCTCTCTGGCCAGCTAGGGATCCTATGATTTATTTATTTGTTTGTTTGTTAAATCCCCACACACACACCCATTTAGTGGCAAATCAATACTCTGGGCAGCTTACAAACCGAAAACAGTGACAACATAAAATTAAATATTATGTAAGCGTAGGATAAACCAACAGAGGGGAGTGGATTTTTTTTGCAGGGGGTGTTGACAAACTAGAAAGGTCTCAAAACACAGGTGGCTTGTGTCTGAAGCAAAGGGAACATCTAGAAAGTAGAAGCTAGAAAGTCATGAAGTTAAACTGTAGGTGCACAATATCCAAAGAAAGGCTGCCGGTTGACTAGCTGTATGAATGCCTGCTTGCCATTTCCTTTCTTTTCATCAGAAAATGGGTTTTTTTTTTGTAGAGGGTGTTGACAAACTAGAAAGGTCTCAAAGCACAGGTGGCTTGTGTCTGAAGCAAGGGGAACATCTAGAAAGTAGAAGCTACAAAGTCATGAAGTTAAACTGCGGGTGCACAATATTCAAAGAAAGGCTGCGGGTTGACTAGCTGTATGAATGCCTGCTTGCCATTTCCTTTCTTTTCATCAGAAACATGCTTTTCCTGTGTTTTGTGCAGGAGCACAAGAAGTGCCCTCCTGTGAAAGCAGTTGCCTAAAGCCACCAAGTATCTTCTGGTACCTTAAATACTAACAAGATTTTGGCACACGCCTGCATGGATTGCACCTCACTCCATGAAAGCTTATGCTGTACAATATTGATTCACTTTTGCAGTAGCATAGGACTCGATTATTCTTGTGAAAGCATTTCATGTTTCTTCTTCTTCTTCTTGTTACATACTGCCAAATTGGAACCAACTTATAACAAGGCTTTCAAGATGAGATTTTTAAGGAGTGATTTTACCAGTTCCATTCCCCAAGCGAGTTTCCATGGCCCTTTGGGGATCTGAACCCTGGTTTCCAGAATCCCACTTTTGCAATAGGACTCGATTATTCTTGTGAAAGCATTTCATGTTTCTTCTTCTTTTTACGTACTGCCAAGTTGGAACCCAACTTATAACAAGGCTTTCAAGATGAGATATTTAAGGAGTGATTTTTAGCAGTTCCATTCCCCCAAGCGAGTTTCCATGGTCCTTTGGGATCTGAACCCTGGTTTCCAGAGTCCTCCTCCATCACTCTAGCCACTGGGCATTTCCTAAGTGTTGACTTATTATTCAGCAACTTTACGTACTGCCAAGTTGGAACCCAACTTATAACAAGGCTTTCAAGATGAGATATTTAAGGAGTGATTTTTAGCAGTTCCATTCCCCCAAGCGAGTTTCCATGGTCCTTTGGGATCTGAACCCTGGTTTCCAGAGTCCTCCTCCATCACTCTAGCCACTGGGCATTTCCTAAGTGTTGACTTATTATTCAGCAACTCGAGTTTCCATGGCCCTTTGGGGATCTGAACCCTGGTTTCCAGAATCCGCCTCCATCACTAGCCACTGGGCATCTCCTAAGTGTTGACTTATTATTCAGCAACTAATTCTATGAGTCTACTCTTAGCTGGGATGAGCACTAGAATACCAGCTATTTTGTAGAAAGATAAGGAGAGAGAGAGAGATTAGTCATGTGTCTTTTTTGAATCAGGCTAAATCTAAGGACCTGCATTTCTGTGCGATGAATGACATGCAAGAACCTTCCCTGGAGTAAAGCCTTGCACTTGGTGGCCGGCTTGATTCCGTCGTAGGGCATCTCTCCAAAGCCAGGCGAGGGATCCCAGGTTCCTCCCCATAACGTCCAGACCAGATGTGTGAGGGTGAGGCTGGGGAGGGGGCAATATCCTTCCTACCTGGAGCAGCCGTCCAATCACAAGCATGGGAGGAACAGGAGGAGTGGGGAGGTTTTGTCTGTAGATCCCCCACCCCCAAGGCACGGGGAGAGGGGAAGCAGGTGGGGGCGGCCCGGGGGGGGGAGAGAGGAGGAGGCTGCGGCGGCTGGTCTTTGCTTAGTTAAGCTCAGACTGCCGCAGGAGTTTCCCGCCGCCGGCTGGACGGAGAGGAAGGAAGGAAGGAGCCGCAGACAAGCGATGGAGCCCCAAGAGGTGTTGCAGGTGAGATCGGGGGGAAGGGGGTGGGAGAGAAGAGGTCTGACCTCCAGAGGAGACCGACGGGGCGAAGCTGGATAGCCCCTTTCCATTGCTCCATCACTCCTCGACTCTCCTCTGTATTCAACTTTCCAAGCTCGGGGAACGTGGT